GTTTCTAGATCAGATGAAAATACTTCGTAATTATCTATTTTGTGTCAGCTAATGATATGATTTTAAAGATTTAATTATTTGTAAATATTATTAAAAGTTTTCAACTTGAGAATCAGTCGTACACAGTACTTTTATTACTGCTTTGTAGTAGAAGTATCTTTGTATTCATTAGTTCTTCTGAAATATTCTTCAATCCTCTGTAATATAATTATCTATGCTAATAATTCAATAAAGAATTAATAAGAGTAATATTATTTTGTAATATAATTTGCTTGCAACGATGTTGAATACAAATCAATTACTATTGCTCCAAAGGATAAATTATTATAATTATACAGCCATAACTAATTGCAATGTTATGACGATGTATCATTGCCAACTGATGCGTATAATTAAATCATCGCAAATATTCATTCGATTTGACTTACAATAACATATTATCTATTCAAAGGAAATATTTTGTACGCAATTTTATCCAACTCATTGAACTGCTTTAAACAAAACTTCGTTGGGTTCATGTTTTATGTGTCTTATATTAATATATCATACACCATAATATTATATTTACTTCGGAATTGATTATCATATATTATCATTTTTGTATGTGGTGAGGTTAGCAATAAGTCATCACTGTTTTTCATCTGTGGGATAATGTCTTCAGAGACAACAAAGGAATAAAGCTTAGATACATCGATGGCAAAGGAGAAAAACTTGATATAAAAACTAGTAACAAGCTGCCTTGCCTACGTGGTAATATTAGGCTAAATCCTTCTCAGATGAGGAGAGAATTGGGTCTAACCGTAAGAAAACAAATGTCGTAATTAGGCACTTTGAATATACAAAGTGAAAATACATACAAACACAAATTATACGAAATTAGAATTACAAGTAACAGACTGTATGAAAAACTGTGTGTATGTGTTTAAATTGGTAACAATTTTTTCTATCACATTGATGGCAAACAAACATAAAATTAAAGGTGAACGCTTACTGGCGACATCCGCTTTACCGACTATCAAGAAACCATATTTTAAGAAAAAAACATTCTATAGTCTCTAGTAAAGTCTGTTTGAGTCATCAATGTAAAAAAGCAAAAGGAATTCCAGAGTATCTTTTAAATTTATTTATCTTTTTAATTTATATTTATTTAATTTCTCTAGTGCAAATATAACGCTTGGATTACTTATTCATTATGTACATATTGAAATCAGTAAATCGAAACTAGCGTTTTTAATTTCCTCTTCATTCAATGTTCGAGAAGGTTAATATTTAGTTATGGGTAAACAAACACAGTACAAGGACTCGTAATATAATTTCATAACGTCGCCCTTGGTTCCGTAGTATAAAAGAGAGGAAATGGGTTGCGCGATTGCCAATAAGTTCTCATTTAAGATGCTGTAAATCTACCTGTTTTTGCATAAAATGGAACTGTTATTTTTTTGTTAAAGTGCCATACTGGTTCTGAAATTCTATAAAATACTAATAAATTGTTAAAGAATGAGGATGACATAGGACTATTTAATCCTTCCCAGGAATTATATGACTGTATCAGGTTGACTTAAAAACACATAATTTCACAATTACATATTTATTTTTATGCCTCTAGACATAATGGAATTGAATTATTTGTTTCAATTATAACCGCTTCGGATAGAATAATATACTACTAAGGAATTTACGATCAATAATTATTATGAAGTTTATTTATAAAATCTATTGTTTATTTTTTCAATTATCTGTTTCATCCGACATATGAATTGAGAAGCATGTCCGCATACAAACCCAATGAGCCTGCTGCAAAACCGCGAGCAAATTGCGTAATTCCATTAACTGCATTTCGAGTTCCACTCAAAGCGGCCGACTTATCGAATTTGGCGCAAACGCCAAATTCGTATCGAATCGGAATTCACCGAGCGTGGGCGTTGAAATATGCATCAATATCGATTCATACCTGTGTTACCTCGTCTTCCCTCTAATGTATAAACACTAAATAATACTATCCGATTAGTCATCTTTATTTTGTCAGTAATATATCTTAATAATATTATAAACGCAAACGTTTGTAAATATGGATGTTTGTTACTCTTTCACGCAAAAAGTAGTGTACGGATTTTAATGTAACTTTACTCTTTTACAGTAATACAACATCTGAACAACACATATATAGACTATAAATTTCACGCGGATGAAATCACGGGCACAGCTAGTTTTTTATAAAGTGCAAGTAAAATTTTTACACAATATTATTTATATAATGAATACATTTTTTTTATTATTATTGTAATAGTCCTATTAAATAAAAATATCTTCATAAAAACTATTTTTTACAGAGAAAAAGAAGCACAAAAAAAAATTAAAAGCTTTCAAGGCTATCGCGTTGCACGGGTCTCGGCGTATGCTTTCAATAAGTTTTTACTGACAATTTTCTTTCCTTTTTACTTAGGTTTATAATTATTATATTGTTCTAATATGAAAGAACTACTACAACACTGACGGAGTACACCACAGTACTCTACAGAGCAGTAGTAAAATACCAGTTAGGTATATTTAATTGTACAAAAAGGATAATATCTATGATGAATCGAAATGTTGATAGTGACGTTGTATATATTACATTAACTTAACAAATCATTATTTAAAATATATAGTATTATATTGTATCTTATTAAATAATAATTATCTATTTCTGAAAGATGCATTATAATTATTCAATTATTCCCTTTGATAACAAGATTTTAAATTAAAATTAAAGGTATAAATTTCACGCAGGTAAAATTGCGGCTGGCAGCTGGCAATGATATAAGGTGAAACTTCCGAAAAATTTGAATAAATAAAAAACAAATTTATTTAATTATTGTTGGCATTTAGATTTTATACTAAATTAATTAATTACATCTCTCATTTGTAATGAACCCAGTTCATTGCGCAACAATGTTTGTTCACCCCCGTTCGTGGAACGACATCCCCTTCATGCGCGTAAACAGGAACTAAGCCTTTGTTCAGGTTTCAATGAAGCCATTATGACTTCTCTGTATTTGATCGCAAATCGAAATATATGTACTTATATGATTACTTATTAGTAATAATGTTTTCGTATATACAATACTGAAATAAGATTTTGATTCAGAAAAAAAACAAATTGAAACATAACGAAATTTGTATTGAATAATTTAATACTATAGCATACACTGGTAGTTACTATATCTATGTATAGTGATACTATACCTACTCATGTGAAAACAATTACAACTAAGTTTTTTACTACTTCTCGATTTTCTTACATTCCAAAGTGTAAATTGTAAGTATGCGTTTTGTATGTATTTACAGAATGTTTTAAAATATTTCTATCATTTCTTAAATGTCATAAGTATAAATTTAACTTCATTTGGGACTAGATGGCGCTGTGTATATTTTCCTGAATTTTATTATCATTATTGAATCACTATATAAGAAATATCTATAATTTGCAATCTCGACTTAATTATGAAGCAACTCTATCTGTGTTTTACAAAGTGTTTAATTTTGTTTCAACTTTCCCTTTGAATAATTTCATATAAATAATTGAGTGAGTTTAATATCTACAGAACATAAAGCAGTATAGTCAAATATTCAGCAATATTGCCCTATCTTGGGTTATAGAATGAAATTAATTCAAAATGAATAAACATTTCTAAGTCAATCTTAAGACACGTGTAGCCTCTAAAATATTACTGTTGGATATGGTTTTTACATTCTCGACCTGGTGCATGGCAGGTGACAGTCTCGGTAATCTAGCGGTTTAGCACACCGCCTTACTTTCATAGGTCGCGGTTCGATTCCTCGCACGGCACAAGCATTTTCATGAGTATAAATGTTTATATCGATCTGGGTGTAATAGATTACTAACCTATGTTGTCGTTGAAATAATAGTGATATTTTATTATTCTCAAATGCTATTTAATATTCATCTAGAAAAAGATAATCATTAAAAAATAAAATTACTGCAAAAAACATATGACTTCATAAGAATTAAAATGTATCAAAGTTCCTCTAAAATATTTAGTAAAAACCACAAAAAATAAGATCTGTTAAGGTTATAAATTTACCTTTTAAGCACTAATTTTGATTGAAATTTAATCATAGGCAATTGGACTTTAATATAAAGGTTTTTTTTACTAAATTTGAAATTATAATCCATATATATATATAAATAATTCACCCCGATCTTAAGGAATTTGATAAAATCAATATTGATTTTACCCTTGTTATAAAAAATCTAATTACAATAGTGTTAATATAGGAATCTAACAACAATTCACTACCAATATAAATAAATACCGGTCACTTTTTTATTTGGCTTCTGATGGCAATATTGCGTGGTTACGGCAGTTATAGTAAAACATTCTTAATTATTACATAAATAAAAAATACCTAATGAAAAAATGTTTCGTTTCAGTTATGAAATTTCTCTTGATTGTTTAAATATATAAAAATGTTTACATGTGTGTTACAAAGCCATGACAATCTAAAATTCATCTGATATACCAATAATTCATGAAACTAAATAGAAACATATTTAGTACCATGAATTATTATATTATCATTAATGTATCAAATGTGGAAGCATAGCGTATCCCCATTAAATTGTCAGTCATGGGATCTAGGGACCCCATTGCTATCAGTGTCATGTCAGATTGATCTCCACACGGTCGTCTCTAGAAGCTGTCCTGGTAAATTCATGGACATGACCTGCATGATATCTCCTCCGGAAAGGTAACGCATGAGTGTTACGTAACAACGTAGTTTGTGGACTGTACATTTATGTAGGCTGGTTACCACTTATCATTAGATGGGCCGTCAGCTTCTTAACCTTTCCAATTATATAAATTAAAAAAAACAGGATTCAATAAAACTCGTGTAAGACATTATTAACGATATGTGGAGAGATGTAAGTAAAAAAAATATTTATAATTTCATTATGTGTATTGTTGTATAAAACGAAATATTTTTTAATCATTAACCTCCTATCTTTTGGGCAATAGCTAATATGCCAAAACCGTCTGATGATCTATTATCCGTAACTGTCGGTGGAGCAACTCTTTTAGTATATTCCAATGCTCTAAGGATGTACTCCGGAATTGGGGGAGGAGTAGGAAGATGGGCGCCCTGAAACATAACCAAAAATATTAATAGATTAATGTGATATCTATACTTAGGCCACCGCTTTATTTCCGACGATCGCGGGTTCGATTCTCGTATGATATATATGTATATCATATATTCTACATTTGTATCTACGATTATGATTATTTCTGCTGGTCATATAATATGTGTTTACAAACAAAATGTATTTATTGTAGACAATATATTCAGTATATAAATGCTATGCTATTTAGTACCAGTAGAAGTTCTGCTTAGTTTGACAATATATGGCGCTGTATGAAGTGCCATTATGTTTAAGTATCACTACTATGACATACCATACGGTTACACATACGGTTGACATTCGTGCCCGCGATAAGGTCAGAAGTATTTTGTTATTGTTGTAGTATTTCAGATAATTAAGCAATTATATATTAGATAAATTTTATATAAATATTTTATATTGATATAAATTTTATATGACTCTCATATAGTTTAATATATAAATTGCATAGCCTTTAGAAGTCTCCTATCTAGAGCAACTTTTACAATGTCGACTGTACTACTAGATTCGATAAAAATACCTCAAATACTTTCACTTGAAAGGGTAGTTTTAGAGCAATTTTCATTACAAATGCTTACGTTAATGCCAATTCTTTTGTCGATCTGTTCAGGTATTCTCGATAGTAATGAAGTTTTAAATTGTTTATGGACTATAAAATGAATTCCTTTTTTGATACATTTCAAAGATCAAATATCGTGAATTACATTTTTTTTTTCAGAATGCTGCTACTTTGATCCTGATGTTCATATTTTATTATTAATGATTTTTGATTAAATAAGACCTTAATTACTATTCTTTAGAGCTATTTTCTTAATTTTAAAATGAAAAATCAAATGGTGTTTGATAGTATTGAGGGATTCAGTAACTGATAAAACTGATATATATCAAGTTGTTTATATGAAATGTATAGAATTAAAGATGATTTTTAATGTGTTATAGTTATGAAGTTTTTTTGTTAATGAAATTTATTTGTATGTATGCAGTTTTAATAAAACAAATTGTATGTATACTGTTGTTTATTTTCAATTTGCGACTAGAGATAATATAGTAGGCGTTACATAATTTTGAAGAGTTTATGGATTTGGCTTACTTAATTTATAACATAATTATCTAATCTAAAATCTGCGACTAGGCTCAGGCTTGGGTGGGTTGGCGGCGATGTAGGCAATTGCCCTCTGGATGTAATCGGGGATGGGCAGAGGTGCTGGGGTGGTGGGAAGATGAGCACCCTAGGACAAAAAGAAAACATAGTTAAATGATTTTAGTTTACAAGTCTGTACGTAACAAAGTTATCAAATCATCTTTACATTGTAAGATCTCAAAAGAAATCTTTTCTTCTAATATGAAATTTATTTATATATATATTTATATATTATATCATATTTTAAGATATTATTTTATACAGAGTTTGTAAACTGATGAGATATTTAATGCGATTTTATTTATACTATATGAAACTTTTTAAAATAGAAAATGTAGTAAAAATTTAGTATTTAGTAAGTAAGAGAATATATAGCAATATACTTAGCATAAGTTATAGGCTAGCATTACAAATAGAAACTTAACAAAGCTATTAGTGGAAGAAAATATTTGTTTAATATTTTCTTAGTAATTATGAACACGAAAATATAAATAATTATAAAACATATAAAAGTGCTACCAAATCAAATGTGGAGTGAATATGGTTATTCCTGCTCATAGTTATATAGTGAACTTTGAAATTTTTTACGACTTATAAGCATGAAACGAGTTATGACAGTGGATGAAGCAAGAGTTGTGGGCAAGAATGGTAGGCAATAATACCCGGTAATTTCTGTCTACACTGTAAAGGACCTAACGTAACGTTAGATAGGAATAAGTAGTGAAACTCACCTGGGGTTGATAACCGAATTCGTTGGCGACGTAGGTGATCTGGATGGGTGTGCCGTCAGGGGCAGTGTACTGGTTGGATCCTTGGACTTCAATAGCCGCATCCTCCTATAATTTTAGAATAACGAAATATAAGTTATATAATAATGTATATATATTTTATTTCAGTTGCATATACGATTATAAAATAATTTACCCAACGCATATTAATTTAACATTTATACTAATGTATTACAAAATAGGTCTTATTTAAATATTAATATTGTGAGAATTATTACATATATTTATTCGTATATCTACATCAATGTCTGTTATAATTCTTGTTGTTGTGTTGTAAGTTGTTGTTGTAACTACTAACTGGGTTTACATTTATACGAAAATAAATATAAAACGTACTACTTCAATTTCACATAAATTTCGATCGATGATTAAATTTAATGTGTATATATATTTAATGTCTATCCACAAATCCTATACCACCTGATGATACCATCATCAAATGGCTTTTTTGTAATAAGATATTCACCCTCTATATCCTAAATGTACAATATATTGTACGCTTAATTTCCATACAAATGAATGTGGACTATTTCCAAAGACTTGTCTTAAAAATATATAAATCCTACATAATCAACATATTAACATTTCATCTTCGCTGTATCCCCGTTTATTCAAGAAAAATAAAATTTTGGAAGTAATTATGATTTTTGTACTAAATCAGCATACAGTCGTAATTGTCTTTGTCAAATATAAATTTTCAGGTGTTATGAAGTAAGTATAGATAGACTTATACCTCACACAGGTAGGTATAGATGGATTATTAATCATAATTATTAAACTACATCTGAATAATTAGTAACTTAATCCTCTAGTAACACAATTACAAATATTTAAAATCTCTTCCGCATAATATATTTAGTACTTCATTATACATCTATTTGGACACAAGGTCACTGGCCGGGTCATCAGTCACTAGATTTTAAGATGATCAAATAAATTGATTTAATTCTTACTCGGTAAATGGTTGACCTTATATAAAATATCAAGGCCTCAATGTATTAGCATATTTTGACTCCATTTTAATGTCATTCCATTTGGCCTTCTTCTATTGTATAGTTGTCTAATGAATGTCTGCGTTTTATTCTTATTAACAGTCTTCATTGACTTAATAATGTTAAATATATTAAATAATTCTTAATTGTAATCAAATTACCGAATTATTATTATATATAATATTATTGTAATTGATTAATCTTCGTCGATAAAGAATATATTATTAAACAAAAATATATTTTTGGCGGCATACGAGCAAATAATCCGCCTGATGAAAAATGCTACCATCATTTAACTATACTTGCAATGTGGTGGTTCTTAGGGTATTCCCTAGGAACTTTCTCATAAATGTAATTATAATGAAAATTACAATATAAGGATAAATGCCTAATAAATTTAATCTGGTAAGCAGATATTATTGTATAGAATTCCATATTATATATGTTGAAGTTGTTGTTTGAAGGAAAGCCTAGAGAGCCTTCATGCATTTTCATAGTGATTATTACAAGTTTATTAAGAAATAATCTCTAATCACCGTTTACACTAGTATAATACACAAATAATATAGTGCAAGTTATTTATTTAACTTGCAAGATTAGATCGGCAAGAAAAACTATTATAAACTATCAATATTGTTTTTTGGAACAAAGATTAGAATTTTCCTTTCGAACAGTTGTGTAATTTTCCTAGCATTTATTTTTTTATATTTCTTTAATTCAAAGAAGGGTGTACATAATCTTATCACGGTTTTAAACCAGAGTATCGCGCACGCCGCAGTCGCTTACTAATTTTGGATTTAACACAATGAAAAAAAATAAAATAGAACATAAACTATGCCAGCATATTCATAAACTATTATTATAATTCTATTATATTTAATAAAGTCGTACTTGATTCAATTTCTTGAGTCAAAAATTATACACACAATAAAATTGCCTTATAGCATGTATATAAGCATGTTGGAAAATTGGAACAAATTATATGGAATAGTTCTTATTTGAAATGATGTATTGAATAGATATATCTTTTAAATTATTCTTTTCTTTTTTTTTAAGTATAATTGTTTATATTGTATTGTAAATTATCATATAAACTATGTATAATTTAAAGCTCAAGTAGCTTGGTTACTTACTCGTCCAGCGTTCTTCAGTTGTCCACTCTCTTGGGCAGAGATTCCATTGCTGGTCTCATAAGCGTAGTTGTAACTGTCGGGAAGAACATCAGCATCCTGTCGGAGGGTCTGGGCATCAGCCTCAGGGCTGCGGACTAAGTGGGAGACATCAGCGGCGGCAACGGCCACGAGGGCGAGGATGGCAACGAAGGATTTCTGAAGATAATATTAAAATTGAGTTATCGTAATCTAACAGTGAAATGTAATAATTAATATACTAAACGATTATAAATAATTACAAGGAAAAATAAAGTTAGTATTTCTCTACTTGAAGTGTAATCAAAATATCTATACATATAAAAAAAATTGGAGTGTCTGTTTGTAATATTAAAATAACCGTTTTTTACTACATGCATATGAATATATATACGGTACATATACCAAAATAACATTTTTTATAATTTTTGTCTGTCTGTCTGTCGGTCTGTTTGTTCCGGCTAATCTCTGAAATGGCTGGACCGATTTTGACAGGACTGTTTTTGGCAGGTAGCGGATGTAAAAAAAGAGTAACTTAGGCTACTTTTATTTTGGAAAAATAAAGTTAAATTCCACGCGGACGAAGTCGCGGGAACAGCTAATATAAAATAAGACAAAAAGGATTTGACAGTTACAATTTTAAATTAGCAAAGTACAAAAACCGATTATAATAATTATAAATATATATGTAATTTTATTTTTGGCCCCCTTGGAGCTTCGGTATGGACTTAAAATGTTGACTTTTATATTATTGTTATTAAAATAAAGAACTAAAACACAAGTAATAAGGAAAACTATAACTAACTATATCTATCATAACAGAGACGATCATCAAATTGCAACAACCACAACGAATGAACTTTTGAACTCGTGATATTTTCAAATCTATAAAAGACACTTTAATTTAGCGGTCAATGTCCCAGATTACTGTACCAGCAATTGGGATACTAGAACAATGGTATTATGGAAATGCCTTAATCTTGGAAGGTTTAAACCAGGGGTTACAATTTAAGCTGTCCTCGACCATTAGCCTTCGCTAATAGATATGAAAACAATATCATTCAAAACCCGCGCTCCAGACAACTCGTTCGTTGTTCGCTGCAATTCGATCGCTATCTTTATAATGCGCCGTGACGCAATATCTTCACTCACCATCTTGTGTGTCAAAGTTAACAGACGATGTGTAACTGTGATTATAAAATACGCGTTCGCCGTTTTATAGCAGACGAAGAACGTCATACAGTTCTTCGCTAGTATCGGCATTTACATTATTTTGCAACAAAGGCTCATCGATGTTCAATATGATATTTTAGTTCTTTACAAGGTGAGTAGGTAGTTTAATTCTTTACCAGAGGGAGAATTTGTACTAATTTATTTGTGTGGGTATCTGTCTATGCTAATATTGCAGAGAGAGAGCTTTTTTGTCGAGGACAGGAAACCATTGCACCAATTTGATGTTCCTTCACTTTTTGATGTTTGATATCCCTCGCATTTTTTCTGATTTATTATGGGTGCCTATAATTTTATATATTATGTTAATATATAAAATTATGACTAAATATCCTTCACGCTTTTTATCACTTTTCAAAAGTCTATTAGGCACTGGATGAGTTCATTTGAGATTGGTGTGGCGTAGTGATTTTCAACCCCCACTTGTTCCTGTAGTTCTCGTTATTCATAGAAAAACTTTGTACAAAGTGTATATCTATTGAATATATCATTCATACTACCTTTTCACGATTAAATGGTTGAACGGATCATATGAAATTTGAAATGAAAATGTAGAGATTGTATCACCAGACCGGACATCGGTAATTTTTTTTCTCCAAAAAAGCGGACGAAGTCAATGTTAAAAGCTAATAAATTACTAAAAAAGAGTATTTAGTTATTTATTACAACAATATAAAGTCTAATGAAACCGGCCTGGTATACCAATATAATTAAAAGTATAAGTTCATCTGATGTTCATTATAAACTCTGATTCATTAATTTAACAAAATAATATTTTTTTATTAAATGATGCATTAAAGTGCTCAAATAAATTCAATAATGAATAAATAACTGTATTTTGTAGTACTTGCTTACTCGCTGAGTCTGGCCTCTTGCCTATGCCCAGCCTAGCCTAGCCTAGCCTATTTATTTAAATTATTTCCATTACAACTTCATTACTACGACGATTTTCATTGAAATCATTAGGGTCACATCCAAGTAATCTACTCATTATATTTCATACAGGTATTCATTATGTTCCATATAGACGGATAGTTCGTTTAATATTATTAGGTATCTTTTAGTAACACACATTTATTTTTCCTTATTATATTTAACTAATATGTGAGAGATGACCTTAAATAGTTTTAATGAATTATACCTAACTTCAGAGTAAATGGGAATCCTAAAGTCCTTCACGAATAAATTAGAGAGATAGCAAACAGGATAACGTAAAAGTTTATCTAAAGATTAATGGCAAACAGTATTTACATATAGTATTTTGAATGTTCTTTTTACTTAGAAATTAAATAATGCTGAGTATCGCAGTATCGCACTCATTTTGGTTGATTTAAAAAATATTAGCCAGACAATTGTAAAGGTCAGTAGTTCCCTTGGGCTTTCACAGGCGTCGAATATAGCCCTGGAGCAACGACTTAGGAAGTTAAGTCCAGGACAGAAATCCCAACTGTGTTATTAATTTAAATTTATTAATTTAAAGTACTTTTTTTTTTACTAGTCTTTATCTTAATAATATTATAAACGTGAAAGTTTGTGAGTATGGATGGATGCTGGTTACTCTTTCACGCAAAAACTAGTGAACCGGTTTTGATGAAACTTCACAGTAATATAGCTTATGCATTACAACATATAGGTTTTATTTTTATTGAAATTTATATACTGAAATTTACCGCAGTAGAATCCGCAGGCACAGCTAGTAGCAAATAATATTTTGTAGTTAATAAGTAAAATTAAGAGTTCATATTTTTTTAGTTTGAGAAAGTATAAGCACAGTATGAGTAATTGTATACTATATATGTATTTTACCATCACTATAGGATAAAAAGATCCGGTAATAAAAATAAATATTGTCATACTTAAGTGGTCAGACATTTTGATAATATGCTGAAAATATTAAATAAAATCTAACATTTGTAGTCGTCGACAATGACACTAGAGCTTTAAAAGAAATCTGTAAACAAAATCGATCATTTAAATTAATAAATGTATTTAGGTTAAAAAAGTCAATGTTCCTCTCTAAATTAGACGATATCAAACATTTTCAAACACCTATAAAAATGGCAATACTCAATATAACAGAATAATTTATGTGTGTATACATAGATTGTTATTATGATATTTTTAATTCATATTTCACTCGTACTGCTCCCAGACTGATTATTATTAACCGATAAATATTGATAATAAACCAATCCCAACACAATATATATGAAACATAACACATGAGAGCAACTCCTTTTTTTTCGAACTATTCTAATGTCGATGGCCTTAATTCGCTTTTACAGCTTCACCGCACGAAAACAGTAACTGCTATCAAAAGAAAATACTTAATAAAAATGACAAATAAATACATTCAAATTATGTTATCATAGTATTTCATTATGTTGTACATTTCCTATGTTTATAATATTAAAATATAAATTATTATAAACTTATGTCATCGCATTATGGCATTGTACGGCGATGTCGAATGCGTAAATCTGTATGCAAATTGCTTATTAATATTTCAATACTGTCTGCCCACAGATATTAGTAATATTCTTATTGTAAAACAATGCAATACTGTCTGATCGATTTTTAGTTTCGAATTTAGCTATTTTCAAGAATCGATCATATTTTAGTGCTTTAGATTATTGATAGTAATTAAGTGGAGCAAGCTGCCATAAGAATAGTAAATTAACCTAAACTATGATAAAACTGCAACTATGTTCGTTAACAGTAATTAGGTACCTACTTAAATTTAATTATCAACTAGCTTCTGCGAACGACTTCGTTTACGTGACTATGATTGGACATAATAAACTATATACATACGTAATTTATGTAATGTATATTCAAATATGATATCTATAGTAATAATGGCATGAAAATAACAAATAAAACTCGCATAATAATAGCTTTTTGAAAAGTACTTAAGTTATTATGTAAAATGTATTACGTATTACTAATTAGGTATATAATTACCTAACTTTAATAGAATCTTGAAAATTATAACTATACAATACACTAGAGCTGGTTCTGAAATGTGGTCACTATTTTTACATGTAAATCACATGTAAAAATAGTGACCACATTTCAGAACCAGCTCTAGTGTATTGTATAGTTATACACCAATTTGACACCTTAATGTGCGAACTAGTCAGTGGCTTCAATATTTTTGTTCCGTTAAAGAATTATTTTCTTATGTTTCTTTAATTTGTATGGTCAGATTATTATTATATTTACTTCTAGTTTAAATAGTAAATTAATAGTATCTAGAGTATCTTAGTAGATCTTCTTAATAAAAAGTTTTGTTTAGTTAAAACCTAGATCAAAATGGAAACTAAAACCGGTTTCCTTAGTAAAACCTCATTTCTGTCAACTTTACATTTTAATAAAGTATATTGACCCAGTAACTTATGACCAAAATCGGATATTTGAATTACCTATTATTTATTAGACGGTATTATAGTCCATTGCTATATCATATTATATGGATAAATCCTGTTTTCAAATAAACACAATCAAACCTTGTAGGTGGCGCTGCTTTTCCGTGCAAGATGATGTCTGCGGATCCGCTAGTATATATACATACAACTTTAATATAACCGTAAATAAGAACACTGGTGATCAGAAGAAAGTTCGTAAAAACGCTGTTTAACAACAATCCATACTTCCAAACATTAACAGCCTCGGTGGTCTAGCGGTTTAACACTACGCTTTATTTCCGATGGTATGCTATGTTTAATGATTCGCGGGTTCCTCGCATGTTATAAATACATAAGTATGTTAAAAAAAATTAAACTAAGTACATCTATCAGTTCTCTGGCACCAATAACTCAAGCTCTGCTTGGTTTAGTACAATATTTGTACAGGTATATTATTATTATTATGCTAATATTATAAATTGAACAGTGCGTCTGTCTATTGGTTTGACCAAAGGTACCAGACCTGGACGGATCTGAAATTTAACACGAAGATAAATCAATTTATAAACTAGCTTTTACCCGCAACCTACGATATACTGGAACAAATAGGTGCCCTTTTAAATTTATCTATTTCCATCCCAAATTGTAAATTCCAGACATATATATAGGTAATGAATTGACTGATGAAATCCGCCTCATTTATTTCTACATTATTTGTATGTTCAAAATCATGGTCAAAGCCGATCTTTTTGATACGAGTGATCTGCATACCGACGTGTTTGACGTGAATTTAAATTATTTAACTAAAAACCTTCAACGGATTATGTAACATCCTATTTATAAGGATTATTATTGATACATAATATAATAATAACGATATTTTTTAATACGACAACTAAAATAGGAACTTAAAGTGTGATTGTGAATGTATCAAAGGATCTGAGAAATTTTCGATAAGTATAATTTTACTGTATTTAAGGACATTTTAAAATTGTGATACGAACTCCAAATATTGTTGAATTACTTTAAATTTGGTACCTACGCTACAAATCTTTAAAACTTTCTCTATACTTTCCTTTATTATTATTATATTTATCCTTGTTGTTTTCATTTATTAGGTTTCAACAAATTATTAACTTAACTTTTTACGAGAGCAATGCATATAATCTATAATATTTATTAAATAATAACATTATGTATTAAGGCATGAAGCAATTGCTATAAATTTTATTGTTACAATGTTTATGGAACTAAGGATGAATTTGATATTTTTAGAGGTTGAGTTGTGCTAATCGTTTTAAATAGACTCTATATACATGACCTTGGCTATTGAAATAAGCACCTTATTAATACCATATTCTCTCAAGGCAAATTACAAAAGCCCTTCCTTGTTTTATTTAAAATGAACTATCATTGTATGAGTATGTTAAATCTACAAAGCTATTCGGTATTTAAAAAAATGCAGGTTCATTTCAAAATAAATATTGCATATAATATAATAATTACGAGTTGTTATTTTGAGTTTTTTTTTTTTTCAAGAAACGGAATAAAATTATTTTGCTGTCGCAACTTTTTATGCCGTAAACCGAATTCGGGAAATAAAGGTTTGACAATATAATTACTGAGTACATAGTACTACATACACCGGTGTAGTGAATAAAATGTTTAAGTGGCCCCGTAACCCCGGCGCTATGGCGGAGATCAGGAATACCTATAAAATCATCAATTTTCAGGCGTTACGACTCCTGTCATAGATACGTAAAAAATTGTAAGAAGAGCGCAACATAAATATTTGTGTTATGTAGTAATTAAACCTGCGCCCATCAGAAAGTAATCGTATATCATAAAAAAATAAGTTTCGTTAAGATTTCGCTTGCGTGTGACAGATTAGACCGCATCACCACTTACCATCAGGTGAGCTTGAGGTCAAATTAAGTAAATAAATATAAATGAATAGACTGTAGTTTATTTGTATTTATTTAAAAGTAACAGATTTGAAGACTATATAATCCAGGATATGTACTATAGATGTTGCATGCAATGTGTGTTGGTGTAATTCTTATACATTTTTCTAGAAAAACAAAAAAAAAGATCACAATAATTAAATAAACTTAGAAAAAAAGAAAAAAAATATTTTGCTTAGTATATTGTCCCCAACATACTGAGGATATTGTCTTGCTATAAAACCAGTGTAATACGATCACCAAAAAACACTTAATTTTTTTTATTTTCTGATATACTTATTTCTTAAAATAATTCCTTAAACGAATTTGCGGTCAACTGGGGGAGGGTGGGCCGCAATGTAGTCCAAACTGCGCTGGATGGCTTCTGGGATTGGTGGGGGAACTGGGATATGACTGCCCTGTGAAACATAAGAATATATTAGTTTTCCTTTAACCCGACCACTATTTTACAAACGTTTATTTCATTACTTAATGTGTTTATATTATTTTATTTAATTACGCTACCATTAACAAATATATAGTGGAAAATTCTGACCACAGCTACTGGAAGCTTTATGTCCTTCCCTATTAATGATAAAATTCCGATCGTTATTGTATTTACACCCATATTGTGGTATATGTTTCGCCTCTAAACGAGGCATCATCAGGCAATGAATTTTACAAAAAAATGCCGTACGAACGTCTAATATCTCAGTTACTTAATGTACTCATATTTCAACCTAAGCTGGCTATGTTTTAATTTTGAATTATTGAAAAATTAGATATATCTGAAGCAATATTACATATATAAAATATTTTATCTATACTAATATTATAAGGATAAAGAGATCATAAAGTAATCAGTATTATGATCCACTCCGGACCCACTGCATTTAACCAACACTCATTAAGTTATGAGCACCTGAACGAAGCCGGGGTGGGCCACAAGTTTAAGTTATATAACACTAGCAAGTGCTTCTGATAATAATATTAGAAAGGAAGAAAGTAAAATGGAATTAATTCGTAATGTAGGTAGAACATTGACTGTGACTCTAGGGAAATCTAAGTCGAGCTTACAATACTTAACCAATTTAATAACAAGTAAATTGGAAATGGAGCAGGTTATTTCATTCCCAACAAATTATTTTATTTTATACGAAGTCACGACGAGGATTATTTAAATATTATAATATATATTTGTGTAAAATTATGTCTATAAAAAATATAATGATTTTGTTACATATTTTTTAATTCCATCTGTATACTATATAAAAAGTAGTAACAGTAGTTCAATGTGCACTGATTCATGATCGATTGAATATCCTGCGAATCCATTTAGAAGGTTTAAGCTAAAATTCCTAAATACCACGTTTTTTATTTTGGACTTTATTAAAATTTGCTATGGTATAATTATATCCGAGTTTATTCCACGCAAAAACAACTATAACATATATGTAAACACCAGCTAGGTACTAAATAATAAAAAATAAATGAAATCGGTTCAATTAGATTTTTTTTTTAATCACACATATAAAAACAGCCAGAAACTCCTGCTTTTTTTGAAGTGGGTTGAAAAATAAAGGAGAACTAACCTGAGGTTGGTAGCCGTTCTCGTTGGCAATGTAGGATAAATCGATGGGGCTGCCGTCGGGTGCTGTGTATCGTACTCCTCCCTTAATTTCGAGTGCAGGGTTGTCCTGAAAAATCAATAAAATAGCATATATTGTACGTTTTTTCTATGGCCAATGGTAGCCCTAGGTATTGAGCCTGGATTAGTTTTCCAAAAATAAATGTTATGCCTCTTATCTTGTTATTTAACTGTCCAATCTACGCCCTACAACCAAAAAGCAAGCTGCTTGGTGGCTGAAATAAGTGACACTATGGAAGACTTCTTACAGTCAACCTCAAACATATCTTAACGGTTTATTATATCGGCTTTTTTCAATGCTCGCGGGTTTTATTCTCGCTCGATAGAAGTTTTGTCATGACAATAATATTTGGGAAATGGGGTTTGTTAGTAATACTCCCTACAAATCTAGATAAACACCTTGGTTAACTATCGCGATGAATAATAACTGACCTGACCTCATGTTCATCTTATCATCATTCACTGATACCTTGCCAGCATATACCGTTAGCACAGTGCACCATTGCATTATCGTAATTTATCAAACATTTGTATTTATCACTATGATTGTTTGTATTGGTTTGGTCGTTTTCTCTGTATATTATGTGTATATTTTCAAATATATTTTTATTATTTCTATCAGTTATTTAGTACTCATAGGACAAGATCCGCTTACTTTATAAGGACCTAGGATACAAACTTGTACCGTATTATAAGTCTATATAGTTTCTGTATCTCAGTACCACTTCTTGATATTAATAATAAAGACAATTTAAGTTAATTCATTCTATATATATAATATATATAGCACGTGGTCGACGCGTGAATACAATTCATTTAAATATATAAAAATTAGAGGTATAAATTTAAATTAACACCAAATTTAATACAAAATTAACATAAGTACTTTAAATAATTAAATCATTGACTTTGAAACTTTTAACATCGCATTAAAAGACAAATTAATGGACCCTTCATCTTGTGAAACATACATATTTGGAGCGAAATGTTTAATTAATACATTAAAAAGGACTCATTATGTATTCAAAATAGATTCTATAGAACTTTTAATTGAATGAAATTATTGAAATAAAAGATTCCAAGTTAAAAGTGACGTAGGTGAGAGCGCATTATAATTACAAACAATAACCTTTTATATTACTTTTAATTTAAGCTACTGTTTGTGAAACATTTCTCTTCTTTCATATAACACTTGTTTGTAATATTATAATATTAATAATAATATATTTGGTAGTAATAATCTGAATAGTAATCACAGATGAGGTACTTAAATTCATTGTCAACAGTCGAGGTTAAGGTAAGCGTAACATTAATTTAAACCTAACATGCCTATATTTCCGTGACGTGCCTAATGACCGCCTCTTGAATTAATTTAGTTTGCTATCAGTGTTGCCATCACGGGAGAGTCAGTCAGAAATATATATACAGAGAGTTTTGGTGTTGGCCAGAGACTAATTCACGACCACTGGGGTGTAGAAGTCAAGATTGTAAGCCACAGAACCTTAAAGCTCTTAACAAGCTCTATTTGTACGAGAATATACTGTGAATAAGCCTAATCTAAGTGATATTATGTAAGCTGACATGTTTGGATAGTGCAGTATGTCAAAATATTGCATGATCTAAAGAGCAAATTTAAATGTCACATCAAGTACGTTTAGGCATTACTCACATCACAGCCTAATGATTGTGTTACAGGAAAATAACCTCTGAACTATGGTTTAGCTGTAATGTATTAATTATATAAAAATGTTAGTTCTTCCCGGAGTAATCTAAGTCTGGTAATAAAAATTGCTTAAAATTTTTCAAAATAAGTGTCTTTCATAAACAACTACTAGCAAAATATGCAGAAATATATCTTTATCTTTTAAACAAATGGCTACGGACAGAATGTAATTTACTTAAGCGAGTTAAAAATGGAACAACGGAAAATGTTTAAAAGTCAACATAAAGTATTTATATACCTAAACAATAAACGTGATGCAGAAGGAGATGACCTTGCAATCTCAATCAAATTTAATTCTTGGAATAGTGATCTTGATCAAACTACATAAGAGACGCCTTTACTCGATAGGGAAACGAATAAATCATTTTATATATATATATTACTACTTCGCCCGCATGGAATAGTTACCTTTGATGACATTTTTAATTATTTATAAAAAGCCAAAGAAAAAAGTCTTGTCGTTCTTCCTTCAAAAATTACGATTTACCATAGACTTAACTTTAATAAATTTTTAAAAACTTTAAATGTTTTATTTATTTATACTTAATCCACACACAGCTTTAAAAATAAATTTCAAGTTGCTAGTTTTAAAAATTACAATACATCCCTACAAACGTTCATCTCCTCTATCAAGTCCTTACAACCCTTTTTTCGCATTAATAAGTAGTCTTTGGCCTTTCTTAAGGTATAGGCTATCTGTGTACCAAATTTCATTTAAATCTGTTCAGTAGCTTTAGCGTGAAAGCAAGACAGACAGACAGAATTACTTTCGCATTTATAATATTAGTAAGTAGTAAGAATAGAAGATTTTAGTCTTTCCAATAAATATAAGTATGTTAAACTAAAAAATTAACTATTTCTAGCTTAATAATATAAAACATTATTATATGGAATTTACGGTAAACATGTTTACGAATCGGTGTAATGCTCAGTGCTCGGGCGATTGAACTGCGAACACAAATTGTATTTTTCCTGTCTTATTAAATCGAGATCACTGAGGCGACACCTATCTTGATCGATTTATAGCGACAGATAAGTAAATAGACGTTCATTCAATTTATTTATATTACATCTACCTTGGTACAGCGTCTTAAAAATATAAAATACGTTATTAACTAATCCTTACTAATCTGGTAAAACAGAAATGGAGTTTGTTCATTTATAGATATATTTATTATACATTTACTTTCACAACTGTTATCCCAGATTTGGCAGTCAGAATCATTACTGTCAACGTCGGGGTGACCGCTACACTTGACCGTTTGTTTAAATCTAACATGGTAGAGATGTTATCTAATGCCATAATAATAAATAATTTCCTTTTAATAATAAATCTTTCCATCACCGAAGAGTCAGAGAGTAATGTAATTTTACACTAAGCATTTATATGTTGGTAAAATTCATAGTGGCAATTTTTCGGTCTAAGTGAGAGTGTAACCCACTAGACCAAGGGTCTTCAACCTGCGGCCCGCCGATATGTTTTCTGCGGCCCACCAAAAGCATAGAGCCACTCTCAGTAACGACAACAATTAAGTTATAAAAAGTACCTTTAATATAAAATAAAAAAAATCCTTATAAAAATACCTATGATGCGGCCCTCTGTACAGAAAAAAAAAATTTTGGCCCTTGATTTGTAAAACGTTGAAATCCGCTGCACTAGACCTATGACGCACTCATAAAAACTGAAACCGTCTATGAAGTGTGTTATAATGGTATTCTATCAATTGTAGAATATTAAGAACGGTGAAATTCGAAAGTTATAAACAAAGCATATTGAAAATTTATGTATTAGATTTAATTAGTGTGATACACCGCAATTCTAATAGGATCCTCCAATAATCCTGGATCGTCCGATCGTCGTTTTTCTTCTTATGTAATTAAAACTCCAAACAAAGTTATCTGTTTGGGTCATTTCAAATCTGGTGGTAAGTATAACAATAGCCTAAAGGTATATGAATAGCAGCATGGACATCATTATTATTATATAATCCCAGTGGTACCATTCATCATCATCTGTTAACCATTCTAAGATATCCATGTATCTTATCTCGTAATTTTATTACTTATTGTCACACTTTTAGTGAAACATAGCTTACAAAGCAAGCTAATATAGGTAAAACTGAGGTAACTACTCAGATGACTAATTACAAAGTCTACCTAGGTCGGACTCTATAGCAAAGTCCAGGATATACCTAAAGTCTATTAAAATTTAAACTTACAGAGTTGCCGTTCTTTACTACACCATCGGCTTGACCAGAGATTCCATTGGACGTTTCATATTCATACTGGAAGGCACCCTCGGGGCTGATATCATATCCGGACCTAACTACAGAAGCGGAAGCCTCGTCACCACCAGATTTTACAATGTGGGAGACATCAGCGTGAGCGCTGACCAGCGCGACAGCGAGGATTATGAAGAATTTCTGAAACAAACGTTCCCATTGTTTTTAAGTAACTGAAATAATTTACAAACCATATATTTTACATAATTATTTAAAATAATAAAAATATTTATAACATTAATTAAATTGCCTACGCTCGGCATAAAATGGCCGTGAGTTCTAAACTCTACACTAAAATAAACGGCAATAGTGGCAGCGGCAGTGATGGTACAATTGGGAAGTGGAGGTGGGGTAATCTTCTCAAATATTATATTGCATATACTAAAAATACTCTTAAACCTTTATTTTTTCCAAATTCAGAACTTATTTAACTGTAATGATAACTAGTCACAAAATAAATAAACATTGCACCATAATTAACACAAATTACACTTATCATGATGTTATATGAAATTACAAAATTAATAATTTAGCTCTATAGATTGTAATGCTCAATTATGTTAAGGAAACAGATTTATTAAATGTTTTAAGAAGATGAATTTATAGAATAAGTTGGACTTAAATCGACTAATTGTGAAAGTTTCAACATCTGTTTCATTTACTTTATAAAATTACAGTAATAGAAATAGACAATAATATTGCTGTATTATTTACTATTAAACCATACTGAATGATCAATCGCAAATGTCAATAATATGTAAAATAATTTCATTCAGATTATTTTTTAATAATATTAACAACATCTGTGGTGCAATAGTATTACTCTATTAATTAATTAGGTGATGAGTTATGCAAATTTAATTTGAATTTTTAGATCGTCATTTATTTTACTCTATTATTCCAGTCGCCTGAAGTATTTTGTGTCTACGAGTTTTTACACGTCCTATAAACATTTTCAAATGACCCATTAATGGTCCATCCATAGATACAATAACAATTAGACAATTACAATTATGAGTAGATTTAGAAGATTTATAACTAAAACTAGATAATAAGTAATCACAAAACTAGAATTTACTTTTTACAAATAATAATAAAAACAAATATAGGTATATAATTATATTGGGCGGTGATCGAAGCCGCGATTATCGAAAGTTAAAGAACTATACTAAACTATTACACCACCGAGGTTGTCTTTTAAAAAAGTATGTTACATACATTACTTTTCATACCGAGAATGTCATAGCCAATTGGATTAATACAATTACAAATCAAATATTAAATGTCCTTTTAACTGTATTCGTAACTACAATAGTTAAAAACGAGCATTTGTTGTTATTGTTGTGAGGGTATCTCAGAATAATAAGCTAGTAAGGGTAGTAAGCCACTTGGCTACGATGTTCTGGTATAGAAATTGTTTCGAGATATAAATCTGAATTTCGAATTAATTTGAAAAGTGAATCTTACCATTTTGTGTGTGAAGTTTACACGGCAGTGACAGTCTGTTGATGATATTCCATCTACGTTCTTATATAGCCGTGTTTAGAATCAAGATGAGAATATTTTTATACTATCAACATGTCTCGTCTAGTCTACTTGTCATAGATTATGCACTAGATTTGATAATGTGTCTCAACTCAACTGTGAATGCTTGAATGTTTTCCACAACAAATAAAGAATGCAAACTATCAAAAGTATTAAAAAGCTGATGGAATCCACTTCTATCATAAATTATCACGTCTCGCCCGGATGCGAAATCAACATTGAAAAAAATTTATAATATAAGATAATTTAATAGAATAAGAATTTAAATCAATGTAGTTTACAATGCCATGACTCATAGTTTTTTTTTTATATTCAGACTGCATTTGCATATGGCCACAAGTGGAAATCGATTGTTAGTATTTTATCATATGCAATCGAATCGCTATTATGACAATACATATACACAATATAAAGACAATAGTTTACTAGTACATTGCAATTGTTTAGGTAAAAATAATAAGTACATAATGTGAAATACACTTTTATTCAAATTTCATTAACTTCGTTTATTTTTCATGAAATTCCGTTAGGTATTTCGATGTTATTTTATAATAAGGAATACCAGTTTTTAAGTATTAATGTAATAATGCAATTTTTATGTTATCGACTATAAAATAAAAGCTTCTAAAAACATATATAAGCAAGAAACATTTATGTTGCAGATAATTATTGCAAAATAAAAGACAATAAATAAAATAATATTTAAATTTCTTAAACATATGCCATTTATATGAATTTGGTTAGTTAAATGATTTCATATTAAATTTCCATAAATAATATAGACGACACGTATAACAAATGATGGTTCACATGAATCACATGTTAATATGATTAAATAAAAAAGAATAATTAACAAATAGAATGTTGTTCACACTGTATTGGATACATTTATCATCTATTCTATGCAAATCACTGATACAAAAGAGTTAATTCTAAACGATACTAATACTAGATTAGTCTAGTATCAATATATGGAGAAAAATTGTAAGAAATTCTCTGATTGACGATGCATCATCCTATTCGTGGCGCATCAAATAATTACCCACTACCAACATACAAGTAATTAGGAACTAGACTATACTGTAAGAAGGGAAATTACAAATATATCAATAGGTTGAGCTTATTGCTATTCTCCACCAGTTAGGAGAATGGCAATAAGCTCGCCTTTTGTACAAGTTTTATTGAGCAATAAAAAAATAATTTAGGTGACATTAAATATTTACCTTCTATAACATAGCTTACTCTTTGACTACGCACTATATATGATATTATTATTATAGTATGTAACATTTGTTTAAATTTATGCAATACCAGTATAGGTGAACGTAAAGTTCGGGATGTACCCACCTAATTAAATTCAAGGCCAAAGAATCCGATCTGTTTGTCAAATAGAGGAGATTATAAGTATTTTATAGCTATTAAAAATCTGTGTTATCGCAAGGAAGTAAGCCGGTCTCGATTTATACCTATGAAATATTAATAATTTTCAGAATATTTGATACAGATTCGAACTAGATGGTAGGGATAGTTATAAAAGTGTACAAGAGGCTGAAAGGTTCCATGTGAATAAAGAGTTTTAACTGTGACTATGACGATTTTCCAGAAATTAATTATTGTTTATCATTCATTTACAACAAAATATGTGTTAGACACACATACATAGTACCTATAAAATAAAGCTGGTGCTATCTGTGCTTAGATCATTTAAATTAAACAACGAATTTTAATGCAGCTTTTAAATTGCTAATATGTAGGTACGAGTGATTCCAGAGAAACATTTATATGTGTAATACTCAAAGCTGAAAAATTCAAAGCTAGGTAATGCACCCGTGCGAAGTCGAGGCAAGTCGCCAGTAATATATAAATAAATTTTATTAAAGTGCGTTTTACATTTTAAATATATGACGTTACTTATACAATAGCAGTGTACAGTAACAATATGTATTATACTCAATCGTATATAAAGGAACGTAGAAATCTTATAAAACTGAACTACATTCACAAGAAACAAAATGAAATACTGATAATATTATTATTACTTTCATACTAAATTGGCCACATGCCGTCATGGCGGTTCCAATTTTAATCTTCGGAGGCGGCAAATTGCATATTTTATATATTTTTTTTATATGTATGTACTAAGTTTATCTTCATAACTAATTTCACCAACACTATCATCATCACCGGGTCCTTTTCTATTAACTCTAAGATTGAATCTCAATTGATTTTTACATCTGTAGTGAATCGGAATTCAGAACAAACAATTTTAGTAGAATTCGAATAGCAAGAGGACGTGAATCTTAAACCAGTTTTCTATAACCTTGACTTATGAATGATATAATTTTATTAGTCGTTGCATAATTTCCATTTCATTTTTCGTATATAAATCGGTGCTATTGACATAATTTTTAAATATCATTAGAACAGTTAGTCACACAAGATCTTATTTCCAATGTAAAAAAAATATAATGCTTTTATTAAATCCAAAATGAGAATACGATTTATAGCCGTTTTGATGATGTAAAAATCGTCTTAGAATCATCGTCGTGTTGGAAATAAAAGCTGTCTAACAAGGTTTTATTAGGTTTCTTAAAGGTGTTTAAACTTTAAGTAGCGACTTTTAAACATCCCTGACTCACGTAACAAATAATTATGATTCCATAAAATACTCATCCTCCAGAAATGTCAAGTTTTTTAGAATGAACAGTTCAAGTAAATAATTTTGCTAACCGGTGGTAGGCTCACCGCCTGCCTTGTTGGATCTCTTGTTGATGTGCTCGGAATAACGTTAGCCACGTTACTCCGGTGTATGAAGTATTATGTACCTACATCGACAGCTGACAATGACTCTTGGGTTAAGGAATACAGTCATGGCCATTGTGTGTTCTCGTCATATAATCTATCTTCACAAACTTCATTAAGATCAATCAGTTCAGCGGTTTTGTCGCGAAAAGCTAACAAACGGACAGACATACAGTCTATCTATCTGCCTGTCTATCACACATCTCTTTTATAAAATTATTGTGGAAGTATAGATTAATAAATCACTTAATTTCACGCGATCAAAGTCACGCGACAATAGCAAGTCTAGATGATAAATGTTTTTTTCAGTTTTTATGGTCTGACATTTTGATTATGATGATTTCCTGTTACCATTCCTCCTTGACCTTATGGTCAAAAAGTTCATCTTTTTCTACGCCTAGAATGTATCTAGATATTTATCTGTTTTCATAATACATGTGTTCATTAAGTATCGTTCGAATAATAATAATGTTTTTATGATTTATTGACTTATTAATTTACATTTGTATACCATTTAAAAGTAATGGTCATTTATACGATTTAAAATAAACGTCTAGTAACTGCATAGATAAGTTGAATAATCGGACACATTAAAGAAATATCTAATCTAATCTTGAACTGTACATTAATTCTATTCCTGTAAATCTTAATTAATCATATTATAAAAAATTGACGAATGGCAACTTTCGGCTACCTGATTTATCATATTTGTTTGCCTAACAAATATTGCAATAATATATATTATAATGATAAATAAAATTGTGACCAAAGACCTAACGTGTTTCATATTATTACTTTTTAAAGTTTAGCAAAGGTAGACTAAAATTCGTCTGCGTTTCTTCAGTACTCAGTCCCACATATTTCAGGCGCCACGCAGCTTGCTTTGTAAACTTTCTTTCGGCTGTATACTTCGATTACTCTGTGAAATTATAGAATATATCTTAATTCTCTGGAAATTGAGTGGTATCATGATAAATAAATGCCTTTAGCGGTTATTAATGTATTATATTTAGGCGTCGTTTACCCCTAACCATTAAGCGGGACGTCAGCTTGTTTGGGACTTCCTTAACATAGAAAAAATATATTTGGATATTATTTAGCCATCAATAGAAACAGTTACCAAATCAAATTAAAATTAATGGGTACACTGTATTTTAATAATTTACTATAGTTTTACGATAACAGATCTTACAAGTATTGGAGAGATAGAAAAATAATTGGATTGGTAATGATATTATCAATGACCAAACTGGACGAGCACTTTAATTTGATCGATGTTGAGCACGAGTCGTTGGAATTGATTGATAATTATATTCATATTATTTATATCTCCTTCGAAACGGCTTGACCAATTTTTATGAAATTTCCAAATAGGTGTCCACTCCTAACATTTTTTTTTATATTTTGGATATTTTTTTTATTTTTTTATAATGTGTCATTAAAAGCTATATACAATTCTAAAATTTCACCCTTCTATCATCAACCCCAGTTTTTAAATCTCGATTTTAATTTATATAGTAAAACAACGTTTGCGAGGATAGGTAGTTTTAAATGAAATACAATGTGTGGTGCAAAATAATATAGAGAAAAGAGCACAATAAAAACAAAAGCCAATCGCTCGAAAACACACAGTACACAATTCGATGTTTAAAATTTATGAAATAAATAATTCTAAGTTTTTTATTTATATTTTTTTCAACTTACCAACAGATATTCCCTGTAAGTCATCAAATATTCAATTTAAAAATCATCACATTTCGTTGACTTTTGAATTCAACCGCAAAAATTTAATAATTATTTATTTTTTATCAGGGCTTTAAAACTTTGCTTAGTAATTTAAGTTCCAAATATGTATAAAATACTAATATAAATTTATATAGAGCAGTCACGGTGCGAATGTAATTATTATAGCAATCTATCTATCTGTAGTTTTAGTAAAATACAGCCTATGTACAATATAGCTTTCTATATTATTATAAATCATTGAAGTATTATTTAAGTTGACCCATCATAAACAAAAATCAACTCTTTTCTGTTTATAAATTAATTTATTACATAAACAATTACTGATTTAAAATAATCAAAATAAATTTTAATAATACTGCAATAAAGTTGTCGATTTATATATAATTTGAACATAACGAGACCTTTGACCATATTGAGCTTCAAATTGATGAACCATAATTTA